AGACAGATTTGAACTAGTGTTGACAGTACAATATTATAAGAGAATAACAGCTAGGATATAGAATAATCCTGTGTCTAGTTAAATCTTGTGAAAGAAGCTTACTCTATAAAGATGGCTGAAAGGTATCGTCCCTTGATTGCTCCAGGAGTCAACTTGCTTTTAATGTTCCTATAATGTCTAGGAAAAAATACTTGGGTCACTAGGGAAACAAATGCTAGACTACAAGATTGTAACAAGCGGTTATCCAATAATCACCAAAAATTGTAGTCAGTTAGTAATAGAATATACATTATTCCTATGTGTACATTAAACAATATCAGGAATACTAGGTAGGGGCAAATAACCATCACTACTGTAAGTTATTTTATGTTCAAATCATTTTACCAGGATTTGCTTTTGCTGGTTGCTGCATGTACTAAGATCCTTCTCTCATTTGCACCATCCTATTTATAATCATCGTTTTTTCTTTTGAGTTCCTAAAAGTTATCACAGTCTCCAGGTATAAAATCACGGACTTACCCAGCCACTGCTTTCTTATTCGTATACAAATATAAAACTCCAATTTCTCACTCTCCAGGTAGACTCACTGGGACCTACTTAACCATATGACTCATGTTCTAGAATAATTACTTCAGTCTCCACACATGATTCTTAATAGTGCACCATAATGTGCTGTCCTGAGTGCTCAAAACTAAGAAAAAGAAGAAAGAAAAAAAACAAAGAAAACCCACATTGCAGTGTACCTTTATCAGAGGATAAATGCAGCCCAGCCCAATATTCCATTATATAGCCATCTCCTCAGGCTCCAATCTACCTTCATAGCCAATCCAACACCTGAGGCACATTTGACTCAATACTTCTCGGAAAAAATGGAGGAGAAACAAATAAAAAAGATCCCCTTCTCCCTGTTTTCTGCCATGCCGTCTTATCATTATTTTACTCTTATTAGAGGTAGAAAGGGGCTTATCTATTTATTGTTAACTGAGAGTAAAAAATAACTTTAATAAAGGTAAGTCATGTGTAAGCATTACAGGGCATACATTTGTGGGTACCAGAGATAGTTTGGACACTAAGGGATTTAAAACTGAATATAGTCATCACCCACAGTAATGTGCCTCTCTCTCCTCTGCCAGCTCAGAGATCTCCCTTCCAGTCTGCTTGCAGTGTACTGCTAGCAGCCGGCAGGGGAGGGAGGGAGAAAGGACCCAGGGTGCCCTAACCTGCAGCTCCGCCGGGTTCTTCTCTTGCGAGCTCGAT